GCCAGAGGCAGTTTCTTCCCTAAACCTAACTTTCTGTTGGCCCATTGTTCCTTTTTATTTATCTGACAGGGGAGTACCTGTATTAATAGTATACAGAGCATTTTTCTTGAGCACATCCTAGGAGATTAAACCTCTTGGCTTGGCTCTGACACATTATAAAGAATTAAAGTCCTGTAATCCCAGTGGCTTCAGAGGCTGAGGCTAGAGGATTGTGAGTTCAAAACCAGACTCAGCAAAAATCAAGATGCTAGGCAACTCAGTGAGACTCTGTCTCTAAATAAAATACAAAAAGGCTGGGATATAGTTCAGTGGTCAAGTCCCCCTGAGTTCAATCCCTGGTACTAACTCCAAAAAAAAAATTAGATATTTTGATATCATGTTTTAGGGCAAATAAATTAGAATATGCCAAGAAGTAATAAAAACTTTAGACCTAGTTAAACATCTTAAAATTAAAATGCTTATTAACTATTTTCTGTACCTAAGGGAATTTTTGAATGTTGAAATAATGATGTAATCTGTTTTATTTGCCATACCCAAGCACTGTTAGGTAGGACAAAGTCTTCAGTAAGATTGGAGAGCATATAGTCAATGCCTGGGCATTTTTCTGTGTCCAGAGTATTTCCAATTTGTATTAATCTGCCCATATGGTAAAAATTGGGGACCTAATGAAAGATAGTGATTTTTCAAAAAGAGGCAAAAGAAACTTTCAGGACATGCAATTTTAGATTTGGAGCCTTTCAAACATATGTTTCACTTAAAGTTAGATTTTGACTGACTATTCAGATATAAAGAGATAGTTGAATACATTTTTGCAAAATAAAATTAAATGATGCRTGTTAGCAGTGGAAATGTAGAGGATTAGTGCATAAATATGCCAGACATGGCATTCTATAGGCTGAAAGCTAGTTCCTGATTATTCAATAGCTAGTTATTCATTCTGGATCATTTAAATCTCAATCTTATTTTTTCTTGGCAAGAGTCAAGAAAATAAGAGACCTCTGGGCATGGGGCACACCCTTGTAATCCCAGCAGTTTGGGAAGCTGAGGCAGGAGAAGATCTCAAGTTCTAGGCCAGCCTTAGTGACTTCGTGAGGCCCTAAGCAACTTATCAAGACCCTATCTCAAAATAAAAAATAAAAAAGAGCTATGGATGTGGCTCAGTGATTAAGTACCCCTGGGTTCAATCCYTAGTACAAAAAAGAAAAAAAGAGGGAGAGAACGTAAGGCCTAGGAAACCATAATTTGGGAAGGTAAAAACTTAAAAGATTATTTCTCAAGCCTCATAGCATAATACATAATACATTTCAATGACTTCTCTTATAAGAAACTCAACAGTTCTACAGTTTTCTTTCACATAATCAAATTAAAAATTTAATTGGGGGGATGAGGTTGTGGCTCAAGAGGTAGAGTGCTGCCTAGCATGTGTGAGGCACTGGGTTCGATCCTCAGCACAACATAAAAATATAAAAATAAAGATATTGTGTCCACCTGTAACTAAAAAAAAAAAAAAGCAAATATTTTTAAAAAATTTTTTAATTGAATGCTGCCATAGCTTAATTTCTACCACTTGGGAGACAGTAAACAAGCATTTGGAATTTCTTTCCATTATTAAGAGTAGATTATTAAAGCTTGGAAATTTTATATTTTATTATTTTTATGCCGAATTTAATATTGTAGGACATATGTGATCTTTATAGGAAAACTATAAATATCATAACTTTAAAGAAATAGAGGAAATGTTTCAGGAGTATGTTTGACCTCTTTTTTTTTTTTTTATAGTTGTAGATGGACAGAATGCTTTTATTTTATTTATTTTTATGTGGTGCTAAGGATCAAACCCAATGCCTCACACATGCTAGGCAAGAGCTCTACCACTGAGCTACAGCCCCAGCCCTGCTTGACCTCTTTTTAAAATATTTATTATTATTATTTATAGTTGTAGATGGACACAATACCTTTATTTTATTTATTTATTTTTTATGTGGTACTGAGGATCAAACCCAGTGCCTCACATGTGCTAGGTAAGCGCTGTACCACTGAGCTACAACTCCAGCCCTGTTCTTGACCTCTTTAAGAATAATTACCTTGGGTAGGGATTGTGGCTTAGTAGTAGAGCATTTGCCTTGTACATGTGAGGCGCTGGGTTCAATCCTCAGCACCAAATAAAAATAAATAAATAAAATAAAGCTAAAAAAATCCATAAAAAAGAATAATTACCTTATTAGGTATGTTTTAAAGGACTAGAATTGAGTAATGGATTCTTTTAATTGAACTTTTCTTTAGTTCTGACACAACACCCCTTTTAAATGGATCAAGCCAAGACAGAATGTTTGAGACAATGGCAATTGAGATTGAACAACTTTTGGCAAGGGTAAGTACTTTCTGTTAATTAATTGTGTACTTGTTATGTGTGGTACTATGTTAAATTGTTGCAGACGTATTTATTGAAATCATACATTCATTTAAGATGTGTTCCTCCCCATGCCACTTGAATTTGATGACAGCCATCCCCAAAATGGGTATTATTTTAGCCTCTGTGAATTACTTGGCGGAAAATGCTGAATGGGTTTTGTTTTGCTATCAGTCAAAAGGGCATACATATGTATATATAGAAATAATTTGCTTTTCGCTGCATATAGTGCTTTCTAAATTTTGTTTTAAATTTATTTTTTCTTTTYAGCTTACAGGGGTAAATGATAAAATGGCAGAATATACCAACAGTGCAGGTGTCCCCTCCTTGAATGCAGCACTCATGCATACGTTACAGCGACATAGAGACATATTACAGGTAATATATTGAGCTTGAAATTTTTTACATTATCACAAGAGTTTTGTTTGATTTGTTTTTTAATCATTTAATAGGGTAGATACATATGTTTTTAAAAGAATAAAGAGAAAATTATTCTGAGAAGATAAATGATATTATACTATATAGAAATTCATTTTTTATTGTTTTTTTTTCTTTTTTGGTCAGTAGTGTAAAATTTGGGAAATACTTAATATATCTTGCTTTTTCCTGATGAAGTTGAATGCTTATCACTTGATACATACACTTCCAGAAGACCTGTCAGCTAGCTGTAACAGAAAATAGCCAATATTCATGCATCAACAATAATATGGTGATTTAGATTACACTTTTATCAGGCTTTCAAGATAATATGGAAGGGAGAGTAATTTACTATATATAGTGTATTGGTTGGGAAAATGTTAGAAGTATTCAATAAAAGCAAATAAATGCAAAGACTTATATGGGGGTATTAAAAATGTAGTACTTGAAAGAAGGCTTTTTTCCCCCCTCCCCCAGTACTGGGGATTGACCCCATAGACACTCTACTGTTCAACTGCATCCTCAGCCCTTTTTTATTTTTTCTTTTGAGATAAGATCTTGTTAAGTTTCTGACGCTGGCCTTGAACTTGCTGTCTTCCTGATTCAGTTTCTTTCCCAAATTCCTAGGATTAATTAGAGGCATTCACCACCACATCCAGCCAAACATTGTAAATATTGATAAAATTCAGCTACCATTTCTAATTTTAAAAACTCTTTTTAAAAACCAGAATAGAACTAGAGTGTAGCTCAGTGGTAGAGTGTGTGCTTAGCATRCATAAGGCCCTTGGGTTTGCTCCCCAGCGTCATACACAAAACAATAGGAATAGAAAAATTGTTCACCTAATGCAGAAATGTGACTCTCAGATTAAAAATCAGCATTGGAGTTAATGGTAAAGCACTGTAGATAAAAACAAAACAAGTATACCTATGTGCACCACAAATGTGTAATATTGTTTTGGAAGTTTGGGTGGGCAATTAGTAAAAAGAAATCTGAAATCAATATTAGAAAATAAGAGACAAAATTTCTTTCTTGTGATAGGATAAGATTATATGTCTCTATAACCAAGAAAATTAACTGAAAAATGTTAGAAACATTTAATTCAGTAAGATGGTAGATTTAAAAAAAAATGGTAGACTATAAAATTAGTATATAAAACCAAGCAGTTTTTCTACATAGAGTCACCTATTAGAAATATAATGGAAGGGGCTGCAGTCAATTCCCAGCACCACCCCCCCCCCAAAAAAAATGAACACAACACACACAAAAAAACCTGTATATATAATGATGAAACTTTAAAATTCTTTATGTATAACTTGTATACTGAGGAACATAGAAGAAAATGTAAGCAGAAGAAAGAATTATTTAGCTTTTGGATGGGAAAATTTCCCTCTAAATCGCCTTATAAATTGAATGTCATCCCAATGGAAGTAGCAGGGTTTTTTCATGTTTGTTTCATTCTTTTCATGATATAATGACCCAAAAGTTCATTTGGAATCATACACATACAAGAATAACTAAGAAAAGTAAAGCTCAATAAAGTTTATCTTCTAAAAATAAAGATAAGCAGTGGCTAATTTTACCAGATACTAAAACTTATTAAAAAGTTAGAGTAGTTAAGACAGTTTGATTCTAGAAGAAAAAACATATGTACTAATAGAACAAAATAGAGTTCATATATAGAGTTCCATATATGCATGGAAATGTAGCTTCTGATAAAAGTGGGTGTTTTATATCAGGACAAAGAAATTATAAAATAAATGGAACTATAACAATTGACTGTTTGGGGGTTGGAAGATAACCACCTCAATTTCTACCTCAGCCCTCACAACCAGAATAAATTCGAGATGGACCAAGGAATATATGTAGAAAAATAAGCATGTGCAAGGCACTGGCTTAGTCCCCAGCAATGCAAAAGGAAAGTAAAACAGAAAATGAAACCATAAAATTTCAGAATAAAGCATGGTTAAAATTTATAAATTTTGGAGCAGTAGAGGGTTTTCTAAGTAAGGGCAAATACCAGAAACTGTAGAAAATAACTAATTTTCTTAATACTAAGAGAAATAATAGAAATAGAAAAAAGACAACTTAAGTCAAGCATGCTGGTACATCCTTGTAATTCCAGCAGCTGGGGAGGCTGAGACAGCAGCCTCAGTTCTAGGTCAGCTTCAACAATTCATTGAGGCCCTAAGCAACTTAGCAAGACCCTGTCTCAAAATAAAAAGGGATGGAGATGTAGCTCAGTAGCACCCCTGGGTTCAACCCCTGGCACCCCAAAAAAGAAGAAAAATGACAACTTAGGAAAATAGTCAAAGAATATAAATTTGCTCACTTAAATGAGTGGCTGAGGATTGTGGGTATAGCTCACTGATAGAGCCTAGCATGCTCTTGGGCCTGAATTCAGTCCTTGGCAACACACACATACACACACACACACACACACACACACACACACACACGCTGAAACCAAAAGATGTTCAGTCATATTCCCAAATAAAATATGCAAATCAAAATGAGATTTTTTTTTCACCTATCAGATTAACAAATATTCAATTATTTGTAACCCATGATTGGCAAGCATGTTGAAGAATAGGTACTCATAATTCATTGGTGGGTCTGTAAATTGGTGCAGTCTTTCTAGTAGGTAATTTAGCTCTATCAGAATTTTTTTCCCCCAGTACTAGGTATTGAACCCAGGATCTGGCACATGCTAGGCAAGTGTTCTACCACTGAGCTTCATTCCCAGCTTTTTTTTTTTTCTTTTTAATTTTATTTTGAGACAGGCTCTCAATAAATTGTCCAGGCTGGACTTGAACTTGCCATTCTCCTGCTTCAGCCTCCCAAGTAACTGGGATTACAATCATATGTCTGCCCATCTATTCAACAAAATATATGTACAGGAATGATTATTGCAGCTTTTGTGAGTGTGTGTTTGTATATATTGTGCTGACAATTGAACCCAGCRCCTCACATACRGGTAGGTTAGTACCCTACCACGCTGAGTACATTCCTAGCCTCTATTGCAGCATTTTTAATAGAAAATAATGAAAACAACTAGAATGTTTAGCAGTAGTGAATTTATTAAATTATGATAGAGTCTTAATATTCTATGCAACTATTAAAAGAGTGATGTAGGTTGTAGATACATTTAGGATGTATCTTCCAAATACCTGCTTATCATGCATGAAACCCTGGATTCAGTCTTGCACACCACCAGAAATAAAAGTAAAAATAAAGGAAAAAAGTAATGTAGATTTCCATTTGCTGGTATGGAAAGATTGCTTGACGTTTTATGATCTATAAAAAATAGAGTGTGCATCAGAATGTATAGTATGATTTCTTTAGCAAAATATGAATGCAAGCCAGGCACAGTGTTGCACACCTGTAATCCCAGCAACTTGAGAGACTAAGWCAAGGGGAGTGGCCAGTCTAGGTTAGGGCCAATCTCAGCAACTTAGCAAGACCCTGTTTCAATTTATTAATATAATTTAATTAATTAATTTTGATATCAGCATTGAACCCATGTGTGCTTAACCACTGAGCCATATCCCCAACCCTTTTATGTATTTTATTTAGAGACAGGGTCTCACTGATTTGCTTAGGGCCTTTCTGCTGAGGCTGGCTTTCAACTTGCCATCCTCCTGCCTCAGCCTCTTGAGCCCCTAGAATTACAGGTATGCAGCACCACACCCATGTTTAAATTTTTAAAAGATTAAAAAGGGCTGGGTACATAGCTTCACAGTGAGTGCCTGCAGGTTCAATCCCCTATGCTGGGGGATGGGGGGGGGGAGAAATAACAGACAAAATTGAATATGTAGAAACATGTTTCTTGGAAGAAAACACAAGAAAGGGATGATAATGGTTATGAAAGGGATGATAATGGTTATGAATAATTTTTTTTAAACCCTGTTCTTTTACTATTCTCCCCATATTCATGTGTTTTATTTATTTTTAAAAGATTAGTCAATAGAGGCCTTCTGGGAGATGGTTCATTTTATTTATGTACTTTTCTGAATTAAAAAAAAATATTCTTTAATGCCTTTTAAAAAATACAGTAGTATAAAAATAAAATGTTTTAAAGATTATTTTGTTCCTTGCAGTTCTTTTGATTTTTGTTCTTCATTTAATTTATTTTGGAATTAAAATTCAGTGGGAGCATTAAAACGAGAGGATTTGGGCTGAGGGGTATAGCTCAATGGTGAAGTGTTTGTCTAGCATGATGAAGGACCTGGGTGCGATCCCCAGCACTGCAAAAAAGAAAAAGGAAAGAAAGAAAAGAAAAGAAAAAAGGAAATTTAGAAATAAGCCTATTACTAGGTTTATTGAGTTTAAATAAATAAACAAAACTCTCAAAAATTCTATCCTAAACCACTTGAAATCATTTTACTTAGGATTTTATTTTTATTCATAATTATACCTCATAAGACAAGGTACTAGAAGATAGAATGGAAAAATAGTGTTTAGAAATTTACAATATGATGTCATGACTTATGTTGAGACTAGATGTTGATTTATTGCAGGATTATACACATGAATTTCATAAAACCAAAGCAAACTTTATGGCAATACGGGAAAGGGAGAATCTCATGGGATCAGTACGAAAAGATATTGAGTAAGTTACCTTTTATATTATTTTGTAGAGTACTTATGAAGATTTAGAATATAACTGTAGTTTATTGCAGTCAGGATTTAGATTTCAGGGTTTCTAATTATCATTTCAACATTTTTGGAACAGACAGACTGCTACATTCTGGTCCTGATTACTTTGCCAGTCTTATCTCCTGGTTCCCTAGTTTTACCATTGTCTCCTGCCAACCTTGAATTTCCTGTCTTTATTCAAAGTCTAACTTACATGACATCTTCATGAGATCTTCTCTGACCTTTTATATCTACCCTAAGAATAATAACGTAACTGAAGTTCTCCATGTTGCCCTTGATGAACATCTATCTCCTGCTCCTCTCCCTTATCCCAACAATTTTATATTCAGGTAGCTATTAATGTAACCATTATTTCCCTGAAATTCTGAAATATTTGTTTTTTTCCAGATTTAATACAAACTCATCATTTTACATTAAATTATTTAAGGACTTCAAACATTTTTATGCTTATCTCAGTCCGTAAGATTTTTTTCTTTTCTTCCATTCCTTCACCTCATCCTTGATGATATATTCTAGCATTTCATACCTTTTTTTTTTTTTTTTTTTTTTTTTTTGTTGTGGTACTGGGGATTGAACCCAGGCCCTTGCTCATGCTTCACAAGCTCTACTATTGAGCCACATCCCCCAGCCTGCTTTTCTTAGGTATTCTCGAATAACTTTTCACAAATGAACTTGACTGACCATCAAGTCCAGTTCTGTGGCCATCTAATTGAAGCTGAAGACTTTTCTATTTTGGACCATCTAATGATACCTATCGTTGTCTCATTGTGATAAATTTATGCTATGTTTCATAAACAATGATATACACTTATCACAAATTGGTATGTGTTATGTGTACTCTAAGAAACATTTTCCTAAAGCTCCCTTATTTTGTTATACTACTGTGACAATCATAATATTTTTGTCCCTTGGGTCTTTTGTTTAGTTTCTATACAGTTGACTTACATATGCATTTTGAGGAATACAGTGAGAACCACGGTAGAGAGTGGCCTTTAATGTATAAACAGCACTTTTATACTTTGTAGGAGTGACTAGACTGCAACCCTCTATAATGACTTAGTTTTGAAAAATGATGATAAAAGTATGTGCAGCCATTCATTAAACTGTTTCCTGAGCACCAACTATGAGTAAGACATTGTGTAGCCACAATAGATGGTAGAAATGAAAAGACCAGCTTGGCCCTGTTTATAATCTAGATGCTAGAGGGGAATAAGGTACGTTATTTAAAATAGTATAACACAAGGCATAAAATGATTAGTGAGATGAGGTATAATAACAATACCTGAGACTTTTGTAGTTTTTTGCAGTTTTTGCAATAGTGCTGCCTCTCAGCCAGTACCTCAGTTTTAGCAGCATGACCCTCTTTTGTCTTAGAGCAACATTTGTGCAGTTTCTTGAATTTTTAAAAATTCAATACTTTATTTTTAGTGGAACACAGAAAAATGAGAGTGTTAATGATAAGACATTTTTTGTAAAATTTAACTAAGTTAGAAATCTTTAAGTATACCAAAAATGGCACTTCACACAATACTTTATTTCATTGGTCCTTTGGCTTAGTTGATGATGACATCTACTGTTTTTTTGTTTTGTTGTTGTTGTTGTTGTTGTTGTGTGGTGCTGGGGATTGAACCCAGGGCCTTGTGCATGCCAGGCAAGCACTCTACCATATGAGCTATATTCCAAGCCCGGTATACACTGTTTTGAAGAAAAATTTCTGTTTTAATGCTTTCCGATCTACATACCATGTTCTAATCAGTCCATTGTTTTACATCCACCTGGAGAAATTGAAGCTATAGACAAAGAAAGGAAAAGTAACATTTTTTGTTGTTGACTAAGAATATTGGGTTATTTTAATGAAAAGCATAGTAAACTCTTAGGTCTTAGAGAAGCATTTATATTTACAATAGCATTCTTAGAGGGAAATGAAAAAAGTTTTAATTATTCAAAACAATGAAGAGGCACAGTTTGTTCACTTTTGATCTCACTAGGGTCAGTCATTTAATCTGATTTTTATAGTGTTTTCCAAAAATGTTCTTAAGTTTTCTTTATGTTGTTCTAGGTCATATAAAAGTGGATCTGGAGTAAACAACAGAAGAACTGAACTATTTCTGAAAGAACATGACCACCTTAGGAAGTAGGTATTATTGAATGTAACATATATAATTTCTTATGTTTATTAATTCACTTATGCAACAAACATTTTTATGATGTTATCAGAGAAAGTGCTTTGTTGATGATAATTCATTTTCCTAATGACAGTGCTCAGTAGAAATGGGAGTTGTGGACTGGGGCTGTTACTCAGTGGCAGAGTGCTTGCCTGGTATACACAAGGCCCTGAGTTCAATTCCCAGCACCACAAAAAAAAAGGGGAAAAAAAGAAATTATGGTCRTTCCAATTATTAGGAAGATACTGTGCTGTTGAATATTTTACTTCACTTGTTACTTGTTATGTTTTTTTATTATCTTAATGTAATAAGTCTAGTACTTTAATACTTTTGTCTATAATAAATGAATGTACACACATGTACATAGTAAACTGTTTCTATGTGTCTACATAATCTATATATGTGTACACACTGTGTAAACCTATAGTAAAAATGATGATTATGTTTTAATGGTCTGTTATCACTTACGTATTGAAGAAGCTTTATAAAAGGTAATTAGGCCATATATCAAATTTAAAAGAAAAGTTTTGTTGTCCAAGATATCAGAAGAAAATATCAAAAACTTGGATGAACTATATGCTTATTTTAAAGCAAGTCATCATAGTCTGTTTTTGTGTCATCTATTTTTCTCTGAAGTAGATTAGGTTTTCTCTTTTTGTTTTGCTGTTTATATTTTGTGGTGGAACTTAAGGATTAGAAAAAAATACTTATCTCTGAACTCAGCCTATAAGCACTTGAGTAGCTTGTATCGTAATAGTGCTAAAAGTTATGAAGATATTTGCTACTGAATGCCATAAATGTTATATGAGATTTAGGTATTGTTCAATTCATTTGTCTTTAAAGATCACCACTTTAAATATAAACTGTTAAAATCAAAACACAGAAAGAGCCAAGCATGGTGGTGCATACCCATAACTCCAGCTACTCAGTTGACTTAAGGCAGAAGGATCATTTCAGCCTCCAAGTTTGAAACCAGACCAGCAATATAGTGTGACCCTGTCTCAGAACAAAACAAACCAAAACAACACACAGAAAGATCAGGGTCTTTTATCTATCTATCTATTTATTTATTGAACATAGGCAAGTACTCCGCCAATGACTACACTCCCAGCCAATCAAGGCTTTCTTTAAGAATTCCATGCTTTTAGTGTTAGAACTAATCATTGGTTGTTCTTCCTTAATTTATGAATATCATTGATTGGCACAAGGGGGCACTGTCTGCTAGAGTATGTTTATAGTAATAGCTTTGTCATAAACATTTGGTAAAGACCACTGTAAAAAGAATTTTGCATTGTATCCAAAACTATACTAATATGTTCTTGTGGTACAGAGTGATTAAGGGATAGCATATTTAAGCAGTAGAAACTAATAGTTAGATTGCATTAGTGTTTCTATATTTATTTCCTCAAAAAGAAATTAAACAGTTAAAAATGTGGTAGTTTACTTTTAAAAGGGTGATTTGAAGCTGGGCATGGTGGAGCACCCCTATAATCCCAGGTACTCAAGAGGTTGAGGGCCAAAGGATAGTGAGTTTATGGCCAGCCTGGTCAGCATAAGAAGACCTCATCTAGATAGGTGAGTCAATAGAGACCGACAAAACTTGGAGACTACGCAAATGATCTTTCTCCTCAAATATTTCCCACTAGTTTTAACATTCATTCATGAATCTTATATTCCCATTTACAACTGTGGTATTTGCTTATTGGTGATTTTCTATTTCTATGGGTCCTTTTTATACTTATTAATTATAATTTGTTTATTTAGTTATTTATATCAGGTTAGATTCACAAATAACTATGAGTTTTAATCCAGCACTAGAATTACTTCGTTGCTTGAATTGTTCTATATTTTGTCATTGGAAGTTCCTTCAGGTTAGTTTCTGACATTTAACATTGCTCATTTCTTTGAGTACTTCTTTTACTTTCTGGCATCATGAAATATTCATGGCCTATATTAAAATTTCCTTGCCTCAACTCTGAAGTTAACTGGGCACTTTACCACTGAGCTATATCCCCAGTCCTTTTTATTTTGAGATGGGGGTCTTGCTATATTGTGGAAGCTGGTTTTGAACTTGGAATCCTTCTGCCTTAGCTTCCTGAGTTGCTGGGATTATAGGCATGTGCCACCATGCCTGGCTTGGAATCAACTACTTCTCTAAGCAGACTTGGTTTATGGTATTCAGAAAGTAAGATTTGTGTGCTAGGTGTTGTTATTGCTTTTGAGGAGAGTACTTCCATGCTTTTGTTGCTAAACATTTTATCATGAATGGGCCTGAATTAATTTCTTTATCTTTGTGTGTCTTTCTTTTTGCATTTATTGAAGAGATTGTTCTTATTCTTTATTGCTGTAATATTGTGAATTATGTTGATTATTTTTAAATAGTAAAACAATCTTGCATTCCTAAAACAACCCCCACTTGATCATGATATATTTATTATCCTTTCTGTTATTTTGCTGGATTTATTTTGTTTGGGATTTCTGCATTATTGTGAAAAATGTCTGTAGTTTTCTGTCCTTAAGATGTCTTTGGTTGTATTATATGAATAATATTGGCCCCATTAAATGTTTTAAGAAGTGTCCCTTTTATTATTTTCTGAAAGAGTTTATTCAGGCTTGTTATTTCTTCCTTAAATGTGTATTAGAATTTTTCAGTGAATTTATCCTAGCTTGGAGGTTTTCTTTGTAACAAGATTTTTAAATTAAATATTTCGGGTTTTGTTTTTTGTTTTTGTTTTTTTGTAGCTGTAGGACTGAGTTGCTTGGATTTATCCCTGGGCCAGTAGGTGACTTACTGTAATTGGTTTTACCCGAGTCACAAATTCATCCTTGTGGCTAGATGATTGGAAAATCTGTTATCAGAAGAGAATGTGGCATGTTCAGGGCTCCAGGGTAGTTATTAGTCAATTGGTTACATCAATTTAAATTTACTTTACTCTTCTATACTATAAGCTTTATACTTTGAAATAGTATGGTTAAGTAAAATCTCTTTTTCTAATGTTTATTGAAATGAGCTTTTACTTTAATACTACCTTCCTCCCTCCATTTTTCCATGAGTGAATTAAGAATTTTTTATGGGTCTTTAGGGCCCTATATCAACCTGCTGCCTAAATCTCTAACCTCATTGCCCTCTTTCCATTACTTCATCCAGCCACTCTCTCCTTTTGCCTACTAGGTACCAGCCATACTCTTTGGTTCCTTTCTCCAAGACATCAAACCCTTTCCCTTTTTAGCCTATTTGCATTTATGCTACTTAATCTTCTTAGAATACTCCTCTCTTAATTTTTGCATATAACTTATTCATCTTTATGGTCTAAACTCACTTGTCATCTCCTCAAACAGTCCTCTTCTAACTCTTTTTTGAAATAGGCCCTCCCTTACTTTTTTTTTTTTGAGTTTGTATAAGTTATTTATTAAAAAATAGGCAGTGAGATCTTATTACATTTAGATGATTTTCTTGAATTAATGAAAATGTATAAAAAATGGTTCTATGATACATCCTTTGTAGACAAAAGGGTGATTTGCAAAGTGTGCAGTACTAGACTCTTGATCAACCACTTTGATATCTGCATTTTAACCATGCTAAGATCCCATTGGCACAGAGAGTCATCACATTTGAGCCTGATATACCATACCATCTAAGTAACACTCATCGATTCATAAATTCCCTTTTTCTTCTGTCTTTTCATCATATTAATAGAGATATTGCTGGCTAATCCAACAGCCTAAATTCCTGTGTCTGCCCTACCACAGTCAAACACTACTGGGCAAAGTGAGAGGAGTTAAGTTATAAATTTATGATCAATAAATTCAAATTGAGGGGCTGGGGATATGGCTCAAGCAGTAACACGCTCGCCTGGCATGCGCAGGGCACTGGGTTTGATCCTCAGCACTACATAAAAATAAAATAAAGATGATGTGTCCACTGAAAACTGAAAAATCAATATTAAATATTCTCTCTCTCTCTCTAAAAAAAGTAAATTCAAATTGATTAAAATTGTCTATTCTGTCCTTTCTCTGTAATAACTTGCCCTCATAATTGGCACATGTGCATACATCCATTCGGAAAAATTCCAAAGTCTTCTTAAACTTCAGCCTTGCTSTTATTTAACAAAGCACTTTGTATCCCCCAAAGAAAATCTGTAATCATTCGTTCTTTTAATTTTTTTAGCACCTGACCTTCCTTGAATGTAAGCTTCATGAGTCTAGTTATTGGCATTCCTGGGTCTCCAGTTCCTATTATATTATAAATACTTAGTATTTATTTGTTGTATTAATAAGCAGATATAAACAGAAGATATTAATTTAGATTTAATATGCATATGGATATATATGTATGCCCCACTGTAGAACACTTTTTCATTCATCCACTAATGTTCCAAGTGTTTATTGAATACGTACTATAACAAGAAGGATTGATCTAGATGCTAAATATATATAAAATTTGATTTTAAGGACTAAAGGGGAAATTACCAATGTAACCAATTTTTTGTTTTGCAAAATAATTCCCCATAAAATACCTTTTAAAAATTTAAATTCATATATACAATAAAATAATAATAAAAGCATCTCTTATTTATAAATGAGGAAACAAGATTCAGGAAAGATGTAGGTCAAGGTCTCATAACTATTTAATGGTATAGCTCTTACTAAATGCACATTTTCTAACCCATTTCCATAGTTGTCCCACATCATACTGCCTTCCCTTCTTTAACATTTTATTTTCATTGTACTAAGGAACCAGTATGGCATAATKTTACTGAGAATTGAAAGACCAGTTTTTCACCTCTCTGAGAGCAAGTGACCTGGCCACTCTCTTTTCTTTTTTCCTTCATCTTTAAAATTAAATGGGGGGCTGGGGATGTGGCTCAAGCGGTAGCACGCTCGCCTAGCGTGCATGCGGCCGGGGTTCGATCCTCAGCACCACATACCAACAAAGATGTTGTGTCCGCCTAGAACTAAAAAATAAATA